CGGGCGGCCGCACACCCACCCCCCCACCCACACACAGAGATGGTGGTGGAGGTCTCCACAGCTGTTCTCCAGCCAGCCCTGGATGACAGCTCCATAAAAAGCTCGAGGCCTGGCCTGTGCAGACAGACATGCTGCGTGGCTTGTGTCTAAAGGCGATCGGGGGGGAAAACAGGACACCTCTCTGCGGCAGCGACTGACACCGGGGGGCGACGCATTTAACAGGTAACATCTGTGCCTGATAAGAAAAAAAAAAAAAGGCTGCAGATATACAGAGGACCAGCAGTACAGTCCTGGGTGTATGGAGTTAATCTGCTGGACATGGAAATGGTACGAAAAACAGATCTGATCTTTCAAAACACACAATAGCGCCTGCTGCTGTGTGATTGTTGCAAAAGCAGGGTCAGAAATGAGCAATTAAATTAAAAGAAAAGGTGATTTTTATACAGTTTACAGCTGCTCGTCTCACAGAGCTTCCATTCCTTTGACATGGAAGCCTTTTTTTTATAAGCCTCCTCTTAGCTTGACAAAACAGAGACAAGCTTAAATGGAAAAAAAATACTAGGATATTAGCTAACAGCTAGTCAACAACAGAACATGACCCTCTTCACACTCTCACTCAGCAACAGATGATTATATGATGCTAACGGCTAAAACATCAACCTGTACTCTTAAATAGCTATGTTCTACGTTAGCTAAAATGAAACGATAGTTAGCTGATTACTAGTCAAGTGGCTATAAAAAAAATGTAATATAATCACCAGTTTGTCCGTCTCTTCTTTCAGCCCAAAAGTGGATAAATGTTGTGCTCAAAATGTTAGCCCAGAAAACAGCAAAAACTGCTGAAACAAACTGAAATACCTCAGTGTTGAGAGAGGAGGAGAAAGATAGCACTGAGCAAACAATAAACCACAGAGGCGGCTTTAAAACACTTGCTAAAGGTTTTACCAAAACTGTTAGCAATTTGCTACCACACTTTAGATATCAAGTAAAAAAAAAAGTTAAGCTGGCCAAAGAAGGGTAAGAATGAATACTACTAGAAAAGCTTAGCCAGAATATAACACTAAATTTAGTTAGCCAAATCATTTCCAGTGCAAGTGTTTGATACAATTTTCAAGGCAAAAAAGCCAGTAACTCAAATAATGTTTACATTTTAAGTCACTTAAAAGTTTTAGGCAAAATTGGATAAAATTGAATTTGTGATTTTATTGTTTTCCGCACAATAGTTTCCAGCTTGATTTCCTTAAAGGTGAAATACTGTAAAGTATATTATTCTTCATTATATTCCTAATTTTAAAAACAAGCACCAATAAATAGATCTTACCTTCCAGAAGTGTCTCACCAGAGGAGGAGCTCGTGTTTTATCTTATAATGTGAGACTGTAACAAACTCTGAGAAAACTGGCGACAAACACAGACGTCAGTTTCAACATGAAAATCATTGAAATCCTGGAGCGATCCAACAAAATTACAAACAGACAAAGTCAAAGTATTTAGTCAAATTATTCTCCAAACAAATGCATGACAAGTGCAGTAGGACATGTAGCGTGGATGACACCACTTTCTACAAGGTAGGTGGCGCAACAGAAACAGCCAGTAGTCCATGTACATGTACAGACCCTGTGTAAGACATGGATGTGACGTCGAGTTGCAATTGGAAGAACATAGTTTCAAATCCCATTTAGCAGAAAACGTATTACTAATTATTACACTATAGATAACTTTTACCACAATCCAAGTTGGTAAATTCAAGGCTAGCCTTCAAACGGGCAAAACTTTGTCACAACTAAAATTTAGCCAAGAAAACAAATAGCTTATTTCAAACGATAGCTTAACATTTCCCTTGAAGAATAGGAAATTAATATTGCTAACAGTTTCCAAAAAATAACTCACAGGACGTCCAGGTATATGCTGTATTAATAACGGTAAAAAAAAAATTATCCCGTATCAAACAATATTACAGTACAAACAGTCTATGGTCAACAACATTCTCATGTACTGTAAAATGGCAAAGTAAACGATTTGTAACGGGTTGTTACAGAACTGTGGGGAGAGCCTAGCTGTGTCAGCTGAGGGCGGTCAAACTGCGCTAGTAAATAACCAGTGTTAGGAAGATGAGAGGAGTACATCAAGGAACTGATGAGTAAGAAGTATGATGAATCACTCTTTTCACTCAATTACCTTTTTTCCTCTAAATGGGATCAAAAATGTGACATCTAATCTACGGTAAATATTCATTTCTTTACCTTGCTTTATAAACAGGCTTTTGAATAAAATAAGAATATTCCTAATATGGTAATTTTTTTTCCATTAGCAGGCACTTAAGATGTGTATGAGCCACACCGTCTAGAACAGTGGTTCTGTAACATAAGCTATTTAACTCTTGGGTTGACCCCACTGACCCCGGCAGCCATATTTTGCCCTCAGTAACCTCTGTGTTACAGTTGAATATTTCATTATGCGACGTGTGACCTCATTTCATGTTCTCCTTAAATGATCAACGATCTTCAGTTCACTTCATAAATAAATCTACTGGAAGCTGAGTCAGGATTTGGTTGAAGTTCTTCACCAGTTTTAAAGTAAGCACCAAAGTGTGATATTGATCAAGTTTGTTGACGACTGCTTTCCAAAATGTTCCAATGTTCTTTGTTTTCCCTCATGGTTCACAGGATTCCCACAGAGGAGACAGTGTTCTATGGGTTCTACGCCTCTCCTTCTCCAAACGCAGAAAAATTCTAACGAGATGATATTCTCACTTTTCTGACCGAATATTTGCGTCTAGTCCATTTGCTCTTTCTCCAGGTGGTTCTTCCCAGAGGTCAGTCTGGCCTGAAGGCGTCTTGAGTTCTTCGTCCAGTCATGCGGAGAAAGTGAGCGTCTTTGTTGACACCTTACTGTTGGCGTAGATATGTCGGAGCTTTTTAATGGCTGTTTTTCTTTGTTTTCTCAGATGTTTTTTTTTAATGTCTTAAAGCTTTCTATGTGATATGTTTGAGCTCAATTTTTGAAACCAGGAAATCATAGTATTCCCTTGTGCTGCTTAGTAACTGATAAGGCTTGTTTGTTCAGAAATGGATTTTAATGCTGTGTATGATAGCACTTGGGGGAACGTGAGCCCTGTGGGTGAGCACACGTCTACACGGTTCTGTTTCACTGCTCTGACTTTTCCACCTCTTCTTCCTTTTTTTTCTCAGATGTTTTTTTTAAATGTCTTAAAGCTTTCTATGTGATATGTTTGAGCTCAATTTTTGAAACCAGGAAATCATAGTATTCCCTTGTGCTGCTTAGTAACTGATAAGGCTTGTTTGTTCAGAAATGGATTTTAATGCTGTGTATGATAGCACTTGGGGGAACGTGAGCCCTGTGGGTGAGCACACGTCTACACGGTTCTGTTTCACTGCTCTGACTTTTCCACCTCTTCTTCAGTCGTTGACGTTTTAAACTTCTGGGTTGCTCCCGGTCCTGGTCTCCTGTCGGACTGTCCAGACCTCCTGCCCCTGCGCTGACTCTTGGCCAGCTCAGCCTGTAGACCCTGACCGTCCAGATTGAGACCCTGCAGGGCCTCCAGGGCCTGATCTGCAGCCTCAGGGTCGCTGTAGTCGAGGAAGGCTCTGTGCTGAGCTCCCTGCCAGGTGAGCCTCAGGGGAACAGCATCCTTCTCTCTGAGGACAGTTTTGAGCTCACTGACCCTCAGCCCTGTGGGGATCCCTCCCAGGTACACCGTGGTCACAGTTGGGGGCACTTTACGCTCAGATGCGGTCCCTTCACTTCCCTTCTCGTCTGGGCCTTTCTCCTTGAAGTTTCCTCCACGTCCTCTACCTTTGGTTGCTCTCTCCTCACCTCCTCTGCTCTCTTTCCTCACTCGGGCTGGGCGCTGTCTAAAGTTCTGCTCTCCCTCTGTTTTCCTCTCCGGTTTGGACTCCTGTTTGAACTCTTCCTCTTCCTCCTGCTGTGAGCTGAGCCTCGGCCTGCGTCTGGTTTGTCTTCTGGGTTGAGCTGCACGTGGAGCAGGCTCTGCTGCGGCTACTGTTCCTGCTACAGTAGCTGGCACCGACCCCAGTGTGACATCCTTTCCAGCCTCTTCCTCCAGAGCCTGCAGTTTCTTTAGGATGGGGATCTTCTGCAGCTTTTCAACGTCCAGCTGAAGACACAAACTGGAAAGACTGAGTCACGGCAAAACAGAACACAGATAGTCCTGATCAAAGCAGATCAACAACACAGGAGTGAGAGCAATAGGTGAAAAATGGTAAATTAATTGGCTATTATTCTGGACTGGTCCCAGCCCAGTGTACAGTCGTACGGCAGCAGGACATTTCATTTCCTATACAGTTAAAAATAAAGACCGGTCCTGATTTGTTGGGTCTTAAAGGCATCTGGCAGCCTTTGAAGCTGACCAGTCCTGTAAAGGATATACGGGGCTATTGTTTGAAGGCTGGCCTGTGTGACCCGTCGTTCCCGTGCCCCTGCAGAGCCGAGCCGGGCCGACCGGCGCAGCCTTTGATGGTCAGACGTGGCCTTCCTGCCTGTGAGGTCACTAGGTCCTGTTTACTTACACAAGTGTCTGAAGGAAAGCCCTGCGGTAAGGCACAGAACTCTCCACATGATAAGAATAATAAGCTATAATGTCCAATTAAAGACAAATTATCAGGTGGAAAAACACATGAAGTGTCTCTGACAGTGTCAGTAAATCAGGGGCCGTTTAAAGTCCAGATCCCTGAAGGACAAACTGGAGGGAGTTTTATTTTGGTTGGCTGGGGTTCTTGAGAATGTCCGACTAAGTTTACTGACATTTTTAATCAACATCAGGAACCTCATAACGGGGCTGTTCAAAGTGGTTCCGGTCACGGACCCCCAAACTGATGAAGAGATAGAGCAGGGACCCCTACTGTATGTACTGTATTCAGTTGTGTACAATTTAACAGGTCCTCGTGTCATTTTCAAATGTACCTTTGAAACCTTTGTACCTTTGTTACTTTAAATGAAATACTAAGGTATTCAAATAACACATACTGTATATTCAATTGCACAGGACTTCAGGTATTTTAATTTTGGCCTCTCTGCCCTCCCCAGTAAACCATGAACCTCTTAATTGGCTAACATTTGGTTAGCCTTGGTAACATTTAGCTTATTGACTGATCCACTTGTTTTGACTGAGAAATCATACACTGCTTTGAGCCTCTTGACTGGCTAACATTTGATTACCCTTGGTAACATTTAGCATATTGACTGATCCACTTGTATATTTTGGTAAATTAAATTTAGCAACACATAGCAATATCAACTTCATGTTATTAAAGAATATAAATCTTAAGGCTTTTTTAAAATCATGGATGCAGCACATATAAAATTGAGGTACAAAAATAGAAGGAAAAAACTTCCAGGAGCTGCATGTTAGCTCGAGGGTGAAGTATTATTAACTAAAACAAAGTTGTAAGCCATGTAATACCAGTCCAAAATTGAGCCATGGGCCACAGTTTTGACAACTGTAATACAGGTGTAAATTAACCTGAACTGTTTGACTGTTTTGACTGAGAAATCATACACTGCTCTGTCACCTAGAGGGCAGTGTTTCTGCCTCATACATATTCCATGCAGAACTATCTGTGAACCAACCAACTGTCACAGCCGTTATTTGACCTCAGGAAAAGGACGGAAAGGAAAGGAGTGTCCTCCTTAATCAGTTTAGAGAACACTTCAGACTGGAGAGGATGTGAGAAAAACTTTCCATTCAAGAAATAGAGAAGATTCTTTGTCTAATAAACATGGAATTAATAAACTAAAAAATTTGTTTGTTTTGTTTTTGTGTCATAGAATAAATCCACTTGAGAAGTAACACAAAGTTAATAAAAAACTTTTTTTCTAAAACACGTTAACGCATGACTTCCTGTTGAATGGAGAATACACTGTAAACTGGGGGAGGGGAGGGGGTAAACATTTTTGGCTCACATGCCACAATAAGGTGTATAATTTGGCAGCGTTCCTGGTCAGTATCAGATGGACGGGGAATGTTGACATTGATAATTCTAATGTCCGGTTTACTTCAGAGTTATCTTCCACTGCAGGAAAACCTGCTTCACAAACACAGAGTAGTCTAAATAAAATTAGGTTTTTAATTTTTGAGTAATATAAAGTGTGCATGCCTTTCAGTAAAGTATCACACAAACTAGACCTGTGTCCGTACACGCAATCAGATGAAATTGAGAATCTTGTCTTTTTCCAAAATAAATGCGCTTTTTTACGTGCTGTAGGAACTTACAGGTAGCTAAGGACCTCTGAAGTAGAGAGAGCCTCCAGCAGAGACAAATTGTGTATATTGCCATCTAGTGGCATCAAATGAAATTACAAATGACGCACTGCCATGGATGACACATTAAAACCAGTCTTCAATGTTAGCTTGACCTTAACTTTGTACCAGTGTTTGACGGGCTGGATCAGAAAACCCAATGGACCATATCCAGGCCCCAAGCCATAGTTTGTCTAGTCCTGCTGTGAACTAATAGTAACAATTAAAAAAAATAATAATCACACCTTATTCCAGTAGATGCCCTGTGGCTTCGGTTTGCAGCAGTCTGTCTTAATAACCCTGGTGGGTGTGAGGATGTAGTCTACGATCAGGTCGTGACTCTCGATCAGCTCCTCTGGGACGTCCACCACCTGAAGAGACACAGCTATGAGTCAGTTTCTCTCACGGTGCAAAAGTTTTAGGCTTTCTTGATTAAGTATTTAAATTCCAATTAAACAAAATTCCAGCGAAGACCCACCTGACAGTCATGGACAACAGTGACCACCACAGTGGAGTCGTTTACTGCTCCCATGGAAACCATCATTCCATACTCCATGTCAGCGTAGCCTTCGCCTTTTCCAATGCGGAAACCTATAAAATGTGAAAAAAATGTAACAAAAAGTTATTATTTATGAAAGTATTTTGATGGTTAGATGCTGATGAAGCCTCTAACACAAGATCATCATCAACCAGCAACTGTTTTTCCTCTAACCATAGCTATATTTCAGCCATTTTAGTTTTAAAAAGCTCTCATCAATTCCCACCTTTCATATTGAGAAATATAAACAGAGACTCTAAGATTTAACAGCGCATGTAATGTGAAGAAAATCTTTATTGAGTAATGCTGAGAGAGCGAGAAAGAACTAGTTCATCTCAATGGTATTTTATGTATTTCAATGAGGAGATGAGTTTAAGCATTTTTCCTAAAAGTGACTCTGACCTTGGAGGCAGAACTTTGTCTTGTCTGCCCAGACAGTAATGACTGACTCACTCATTATGTATGAAGATAAAATAACCAACATCTGCACCACATTTAATATTTTTAAAAATAGTGCAAGGAATGATTTCAGTCTGAAAATACACTTTATCACAGCAGACTGTCTGGTTAAAGGTAGTCGCAGTGTTTTCAATTTTTTAAAATAACCAAATTAAATGTAATCTGATGGGAGCACGGAGAAAATCCCTTATGAGAACCAGGTGCTGTTCAGAGTCGGACATGAGTGCACACTGGTATGTAGGTATGTCCGTGTGACCTGGTTGTCTGCAGGCATTCTGGTGAGGACCAAACTATACTGAGAGTGAGGAGACTGTCACCAGGAGGCAGAACGCAGTAAAAAGAAAAAAAAGAAAAACAGTGACACGTGTCACTCATTCCTATTTTTGTTTTTCAACTGTATTCGTAAAAAGCATTACACTACATTCTCAATGTAGTCCAACAATTTGTTTTTATAATTTATATATATTTAATTATACATATACTATATATTATCATTTTAAAAAACATTATTTTAGCTTTACTTAAAAACAACAAAGCTCTTATTCCCTATTTACATATTAAGTCAAAGTCAAATGTTTCCACTAGATGGCAGCAGAAGCGGAGGTAAAAGTATTATAGGGTATTTTGTCCCACGTCTAAAGCGTATCCTTTACAATAGAGCATTAGGGCAGAGTCGAGGGAAAAATGAGATAATTGAGTCATAGGTTTACCACGATTTTTTTTACCAATTTAACTTCTTTGTAGGGATTAAATTACCATGGAGTGATACAGCTGTGACTGTCGTGAATCTTGTAGTAGATTAATAATCTCTGTAAACACAAACTGATGAGGATAAAAACATTAGCTGCTTCAGGCTACTGCAGAGTTACTCCTCTGTATGCTACACCAGGGTTGCTGTACTTAACAAATCTGAGTATTTTTTATTTTTCAATACAGTTCTGTATTTAAACTGCTTCCAAACACAGTATATCTCGCAAAATCTTTATGTACCTTTAGGTGACACTGCCACAGAGCCAACCACCACCAGGTCGATCTTCACCTTTGCCTCCAGACCTACAGGAACACTAAAGTCTTTCACACCCTGGAAGCCAAGTGGAGACAAAAAAGGAAATATATATGATATGGATTTTTATCCATATTTTCAACCATGACCATATAAAAAAGGCTAAAGTCAAACCTGAGCAGAAGCACATATACGGAGCTGTTCTTTGTTGGCTCCCTCTGGAGGAGTAATTTTGTTGAAAAGACCAGTACGGAGGCGGGGAGTTGGGACCAGCAAAGTCTTCTGGGCCTGCAAAGTCAAAAGCCAAGAGGTCATTCTCTACACCAGGGGTCAGCCACCTTTTTGAGCAGACACTCTTCTTACCACGGTCATTGCACCCATTTGTACATCATTAAGTCTAATTGATTCAAAAACCACAGTAGCAGTACGTTTTTTGACCTAGTCTTCTAGTCTTGTTGACTAATTTTATTTTTAGAACATACTCCGCTGGCACCTTAGGTAGTCCATGGGGGCTACCAGGCACCACATGGATGACTCCTGACCCTAGATGTTAGCAGTTATTAACAAAAGTAGCAGATTCTGGACTCGAGAAATGCCATATATTAAAATTTAGCAAAAGCAAAACCTAATTTCAGTTTATTATATGGATGGATAAGATATATTTTTCACATTATTGTCATCATGATCTGCTAAAACGTACCTAAAATTTCATATTAAAATATATAACAACTTCAGGAAAATGTTCACTAAACAAACCATCAACCATAAACATTTACATCAGAGTCCAGGTGCACTGCATATGCAGATATAGTTGGCTTTAAACAGGTAAAATTTGCACCTGTTTTTAATTACTCTTAATGGTTGAAACAAAAAAAAAAAGCTGAAACACAAAGTTTGGGATACTAGAGGTTGATTCTTTTTCTGTCCTCCAAATTGCAGTGCTACCTGTAGCACTGCCAGACGAGCGCCCTCTAGGGGTTTATCTGGATCCACCTTCACCTCAGGAGTCTGGGGGAACACCTGCAGCTCAGAAACCTTGGCACAGGCCGTGAAGGCTCCCTGTTCAAAGGAGGAAGAGGAGGAAACACAAAGAGCTGACGTCATGTTTTACTGTGCAACTTACTTCTAAAGTGACAAAGCGCGCCTGCTGCTGAGGTCTGTCTGGGTTTACTTTGACTGTGTGGCTGGACTTGAACTCCTGCAGAAATGCCAGTCGGCTGCATGCTTGGTTTGCACCCTGAGCCCATTAAATGCACAGTAAAAAAAATGCACACAGACTGAATTAATTCTTAGGCTGTCAGTGAAGAGCTGCTGTGCACATGTCTAAGTTTACAACCTGACACTGATATTGACCCTCATGGGTGACAGTTGAAATGTGTCCTGCCCCCCTTGTTTTTTTATGTTTAGAACCCGTTATCACCAAACCTGGAGGTAGCCTTCAGCAACTTGACTTCATTCCAATTCTCTCATAATTATATGGATGTGAAGCAGAAACAGTTTATCCACACTGATGAAGTTGGCTTCAGGCTTATTCATTACTAAATGACTCAACTAAAACATTTATTTAAGTTTAAAAAAAATTAATTCTTATAAAAATTATAAAAAAATAATTTTGCGATACACGTATTTTGGGCTCTTCTCTGGTAAAACAAAGAAAAAGCAAAGTTAGTATCAACACAATATAAGTTTTAACTTTCTTTAACGACAAGGAGTGAAAAAAATAGTGAAACAAAAACCTCTCATTTTGTTTTAAAGACGAGATTAGCTCATTGAAAAGTAATGCTACATGTTAGCCAAAAGCGAGGAAAGACCAGAACGTAACAAAATGACGACAAACTGCACAACATAGCAAAAAAACTCATTTTAGCCAAACATGACTGGGAGTAACTAAATATTTGAAGTTAGTAAAAGCAAAACCACGAGCCACATTTGCCAGAACTGACTAAAAATTATTCTATTCCATTTGAATGTAATGTCCCCTTCTTTACCTTCAAAATCAAGTAATTTTTTTTTACCTCCGTACTTTCGCGATGAAATTAATACAAATGTATTGACAACAATTTAACCTGCCTTGAAATTCGGAATCCTGTTGTGAACAGGCCTCGGGAAGTTGGCCAGGTTCTTTTCTTCGATATAGTCCCAAACTTTGTGTCGAATGTCCCATTTTGAAGCACCTGGAGCAAAAAAAACCCAAAAAAACTAGACGTTAACACCCGCTTTGCTATTACATTACGGTAATGCAGCTTCGATACAACGTGGGAGACACAAACACACTATCGACACTTACCGGGATTTATTTTAATAACAGGCTCCATCTTGTTGTTTTAACGGTAAAATCAGTCGCACACGTGAGCTCAGACAGTAACACGCAGGAACAGCTGCCTGTCACTGTTTATCGTGGATACGGTGGCGCAGGACGGACATTCTTTACCAAACGCAAAGGCTAAAAGGCGGAACTCGTGAACTTGTATCGTCACTAATGAACGCCGCTCTTTTATAAATGCCTTTTCCAACACAAAACGACTAAGAAGTTGAAGTAATATTGAAAATAAAACAAGGAAGTTAAAGCAATAGTTAACAAAAAGTGGCATCATATTGATAGGACATATTATGATTAAAAATAAATAAAAAATAGCTTGAATTGACAGCTAATTAGAAAGAATAAATATAAAAAATTTTTGATTGAAATTCGTGTCTGTATCATTCATATTTCCATCAATTGGAATTATAAAATCATTACGACCCAGGAGTACCATACTTCACCGCTGGAGGGAGAACAATACACACGGATGACTATGCACCATTCATTCACCACAGGCTCACACATCCCAGCGTCTATTGGTGCACTACCTTGTGTGACACCCCATCTCTCTCTCTCTCTCTCTCTCTCTCTCAGTGTGGGCACCCTGCCAGCCACTGTGTTTGTCCTGTACATTCCAAACCAAACCCCACAATGCGCGTTTCACAGCAAACACGGTGGTTTGGAGTGACGCTGTTCTGAGACCTCTGTCTTCCCCCCGCTGTGGTGGACCAGTACTGTGAGAACTGAGCCGTGAGGAACTGTCTGACTGACAGGGAGACTCTCTCTCTCTCTCTCTCTCTCTCAGTCTGGGCACCCTGCCAGCCACTGTGTTTGTCCTGTACATTCCAAACCAAACCCCACAATGCGCGTTTCACAGCAAACACGGTGGTTTGGACATGAGCAGTGACGCTGTTCTGAGACCTCACACATCCCCCCTCTGTGGTGGACCAGTACTGTGAGAACTGAGCCGTGAGGAACTGTCTGACTGACAGGGAGACTCTCTCTCTCTCTCTCTCTCTCTCACTCTCAGTACCCCACCCCCCCATCCCCCCCCCCTCCACGCCGCCC